CTGCTGATCACTATTATTTTTTACTTGTTTGTAATCTTACTCCGACCATTGAGGGCCTTTGGGATGTTACAGCTAAAGTCTACTCAACTCTGGAGACAAAGTCACAAGATGAAAATGAGTCTAGTGCATTTTAATCTTCTCTGTGTCACGGAATGACCCTGCTTTGGCCAAACAAGGAGCGAGTGGCTGGTGGTGATCCAGGGAAGCTGATGCATGGTCCCTGGTAGCAGGATCAGGCCCTGAGCTTCTGACCAGTGCTATACATTATCCTGGCCCTAGTGATTTGCAAATGAACGAACTTTCAAGTGTCCTGGGGAAAATCTGTAGAAAATATATGGCAAATGAGGAAAGCAACTATTTCATTTCCCTATAAACGCCCATCAAAAATGATAAGCTGCTTGGCACTGGGAGTAAAGCTTTCAGTGCATGTATTAGAGACACAGAAGTGATGGAAAAGAATTTCAGCAGAAAGGATAAGTGTAATGGCTCTAGCAAAGGAGAGAAAAATGGCAAACCTATGATAGGCCTATTGATTCAGGAACCTGGGCCAAAATACCAAGCTAAAAAACACTTAGCTGGAGCCGTGCATCCAAGGAATCCTCCGCCCTTGCCAGACCCCTGTTGTCACCTCGTTTCCATGGTGCGTTCCAGTCAATATCCCTCCTTCGCGTGGTGCAGGGATAGGCTGGATTCATTTTCCATAGTGTGCCTGGGGCTCTTTAGAGCGATCTGTGTCTCTGCTCTTTGCTCAGCCAACCACCAGGAACAAAGCCTCGCCGACTCTCCCGCATTAAGCGTGAGACTTGTTTCCCTGCTTGATCTTTGCTTCTCTTCTGCAGTGTCTCTAATACCCAAATTGGTAGCAAAGATCCACAGCTGCCAGTTGGAAAGGATGGTTTTACCTGCAAAGGATTGCCTTCTTTCCCTTCCTCCCAGCTGCTAGCATGTCCTTGGATGCAGGCTGCCTTAACCGAGCACCAGCAAGGTGTGTGCTCTGCATCCCCTTTGTATAGTGTCAGTGAGGCATGCTCTAGCCTTCAATCCGGAAAAGTTTTCCTTCAGCTTTCAGATCCAGAATAAAAGATCCTTATTTACATGCTTGTGACAGTCAAGACCGTGCCCACCCCAAAACAGGCAGGTGAAAAACCAGAGACGTGTCATCAGGTAATTCTTCAACAAAATACTAGAATTTCTGTTCCAAAATCAGCAGAGATACGGACAGGCTGAGCGTAGCCATTAGAAGTTATCGCAAAACTTCATCCCAAAGCAGTTGTTTCCCTGAAAGTTACTTCTAATAACGCACTCTCTGCTTCAGTCGAACTCCTCTGCATGGTTTG